ATCACCTTATTGGACATTACTGAGAAACTTTGAATGAAAAATGAATTTCTATGCGGTTAAACATATTTATTTTACTTATATAAAAATAGTTTTAGTTGTTATTTTCATGATTTTTGAAAAAAAAAGAAGTTTTCTGTAGCATCTGCCCTTCACTTCCAAGCACGGAGAAACAAATAAAACATTTAATCAAAATCAAATAAAGTATTAACATTTGTTGTGTCTATTATGTCATTTCTTAAGGATAAAGAAGTTTTAAACTTTTTATAGAATCTGAAAATAAGTGTAACCACCGTTCACAACTGAATAAAGATTTTCTATCTGTTCATTTTAACTGATAATTATTTAAATAGATTATTTAATAAATTACATAAGATTTAAAAGGTAGGGTTTACGGTTATGGTTATTTAAGTTTACATAAGTTAAAAACTCTGAAACATGTTCTAGAAACACGAGGCAGATACTGCATTCGATATCTATAATTTATCAAAGTTCTCCTTATGAAAGAAACCATAGCCTGAAAAAAAACCTTCTTGAACGACATGACTACGACAACGCTGTTGTCTCGGACATTTAATTAAACCAGAGAATTCTCAAAGGGGCCATGGAAGAAGATTGAAAACACAGTTATACATCGTATCAATTGTCTTATCTTTGGTGCTAATTTCTCAGAAGAATACTATTAGGTAATTATTATGCTTTAACATACCGTTTATTGAAGAAAAAAAACCCAAAAAAACCCTTCAATATTAATCAAAAGGTCATGACAGTACAACTGCCCAAACAAGACCTGTGTTTGTTCTGGTGCCCATTGAAAGGATGGTAAGAAAGAGACATGTCTTTACTGGAGCAATTTGATATAAAAGATCGTCAAGTTACAGTTAGAGAAATAGGCTAATATCTTTGCAATAAGATGATTATTAAATCCCGAAAATATCATTTAACGAGGTTGGATCCTGATATTTAAAGTCTTAAACTTTTTTTGTCAAGTATATTTTTAGTTTCTACACACATAGCTTAATTAAAAATCAAAACAAAAAATGGGGGTCAATACGCTTCTTTTGGCGCTACAGTTCATTTAATATGACCTTTTTGCACTGAAATTTGTGTCTTAATCAAAAATCACATCTTCGACGTTTTCCCTCCAATGTTTTTATCAAAAAAAATCATGGGACAAATTAAACTATTAGTCTATTTAAAAAAAGACAATTCAAAATTGTGACTAGGAAAAAGTTTCAAATTGCTTCGCATAATCAATTATTTGACCTTTCTGCACTCAAAAATGTGATTTTTCTGGCATTAAAAATTTAACAAGCAAGAAAATTATTTTAAAGTCTTAAACTTTTTCTGAATTTAGGCATATTGGTCAAAGTTATCTTATATATTCAGAAAATAAAAACAAAAGTGGGGGTCTATGATGTATATTTTTAGATATTACTAAAAAAGTGTTAATTTTATGTTAAAATTGGCTAAATTTTTTCCTGGAGTTTCAGAATATATTTACTATATTTGTCACAATATAATGAAAGAATTCGTAAGAAATAATTTAATAGATATTTCAGAACCAGCATAAAACATTTCACTGCAAAAAAACAGCTCTGTGTGCAACCAGCGTGGAAAAATCGGAATCTAAACTTCACAGTACTGTATATATTTCAAAAGGGGACAAAATGATCATTTTCTCCTAAAAAACCTTCCGCCACAAAGTATAGTTCCTGGCTTAATCCTTTTTGAATGGAATTTAATCGCGGTTTTTCATTGGATATAGTTTAATTTGCATTGTAGAATTCAGATTTAATGTTTGAACTTAAAAAATGATGCAGAATTTTATAAATAAAGGTCCAGACCAAAATCTGCTCAAAAGCTCAGGATTGAACCTCCTTAATTTCGACTTTAAACATATCAGATATGATAAAAAGACCGCGCTCATACTTGTTTCACATTAAAAAAAAACGACGCATCCAAGACAGAAGAGTCGGGTTGTGATGGTTACCATGCTCATTCTGGTAAAAGATATCCTTATCCACCCATCCTATTGCCGACATTTGGCCATTTTTGACAAATTGACTATTCTTTTTGTAAAAAATAACCTGCAAGGTAATAAATATAAGACTCGATAAATATAAGCTGCTGTGAACTGAACGCTCCGGGGCATGTCACGTGACCGCTTGGACCACGAGTTTCGCGCATGGGCAGAACAGTGGCAGATGTGGGACTACTAAAAAAAAAATAATACACACTGAAACATAATTTTAGTCTTTTATGGAAGTAATTCAATTAGTTCGCGAACTTTTTGATAACCCCTCGTATTCAACGACATAAAGAAATCTTGATGCTGATATTATTCTTTGAAACTTTATGAAACGAAATTCTGACTGTCGTTATTTTAGTCATTTTAGTCTCGACACTGTAGTCCGGAAGAATTTGCTTTCATACTTTCATCCTGGAAAATGGCCAAATGGACTGAAGTATGATGTCAAAAATGTTTTCAGGGACTCATTGTCAGTGTCATGATATAAACTTTCGGGGGGGGGGGGGGGGTCAAAACAGTGAATGTTAATTTAGTGCATTTAGATCAAGCTTTCTGGTGTAGAAAAGAACAAAAATACAAATATGTAAATTTCGAACAGTTATCAAATTGAATTTATTTCAAGAGGTCCGCGTTTGCTCTGCTCCAAATTTGTATCGTTTCAGTGGACTTTCGATATTGAATACTGTTCGTTATCTTCATATTTCATTTCAAGCTGCAATGTGCATGTCAGTGTATAGATTTGAAAAAAAGTGAATACATTCAACGTTAAATCATATCTTTTCTGCAAAATATAAGAAAAAAACTTTTAAAAGTATGGAATGCAAGACTGCAAGAATTTGATTCTCTTTTTTCATTGAATGAAAAGAGTAAAGATAACGAACAGTAATCGAATTCAACACCTATAAACAATAATACAAATTCATGAACAGGACATTAAACACGGACCCCCAGAAACTCAGAGGTGGGATAAGGTGCCTAGGAGGAGTAAGCATCCCCTGTTGACCGGTCACACCCGCCGTGAGCCGTATGTATTGATCAAGTAGATGAAATATTCTGTAATCAAATTTTGTATAAAGACAAAGGTCTTACATTTGGAAGGAAATATGTCAGTCAAAGTACGACCCAATGATGGGTTCTATTTGCTTATAAGGCCATCATAGCGACTATAGAATTTACAAAATGCTGACATTAAGCGAGATTATTTAAATCCCTGTAGCATCAACTTTTTTGTCAGTAGCCTGCCTTGGTTAGGAACAAAAAACCTAACATCTTTATTTGTTTAGAATTCGGTTCTCCAGCTGAAAGTGGAATTTAATTAAGAAGCTTCAAATCCTAAAATTATTTTTTTTAATTATGTCTGGATATTATTTGATGTTAAATAACGTCAAAATTTTGCAACATTCATGACTGTTAAGAAATATGAAACACAATGTTTCAATTATAAAATGAGGAGACCAATTATGACATCAAATACCTTTTCCGTAAATATTTGAGAAAATATAAACGAAATATATACAATTTAAACTGATAACTATTCACTTATTTTCAGCAAGGGTATCAAAATCAATTGTTGGGGTGCATTTGTACTTACTATTTTATTTCATGTGACCCAATACGCTTGAAGAATAAAACTCAATTTGACGTAAATATTTAAGTTACTGATTACAATAATTTTTTCATTCAGCCTTGAATATATTGGACATATTTTTTATTTCTAAATTAGATCATTGCTGACTATTGATTAACTCAATATAAAAAGAAAGAAACCAGAAGTCTCTGACGAGACTGAGCTTTACTGGTTTTTACTTAATAACAGTAGAGAGAAATAGAACTTGGACTTGAAACTTTGGCAACAGCAATAAATAAATAATTATCATTGGTTAAGTTTCATTTTGTCTCAAGGTTAATTGCAATCAAGCAAAAACTGTAGAAGTAGCCTTTTGAAAGAATTTCACAGAAATTTGATTTTTAGTAACCAAAGCAACACCGTTCGTCAAAATCAAAACCCTATTTACAGAATTATGTATCATAATGTAGTCTACCTGTGTACCCAGATGTACTGAAATCGGACTAAAGCTGTAGGAGGAGTAGCCTTAAAGAATTTCACAGAACTTTCAATTTTTAGTTACCATGGCGACCCCGTTCATTAAAATAAAAAACCGATAAAGAGAATTATGTATCTTAGTGTTGTCTACTTGTGTACCAAGCTGTATTGAAATTGGACCAAGACTGTAGGAGTAATAATTATTTACAGACAAACAGACAGACCGACAGACAGACGGACACCTTACCAATCGCATAAGCTCTTCTGTTCTCTGACCAGTAGAGCTAAAACTTGTGTCATTGATTTGGTATACAGTTGAACCTCCTTAATCCGGACTTTTCACCATCCCGACTTAATATTCTTGTGGAACAATTTATATTTATTTATTCCAGGTATGTTCAGTAACCTGGACGCTTCATTAATACGGACAACTCGGAATCATAAGTGTCCAGATTAACGAGGCGCGGCTGTATATTATTTCATATCTACATACAATCAAAATGAAAGTTAATAAAAAAGATGAAACAGTATTGCTTCTTTAAATCTTTTAAACAGTAATGTTCTATGTATTTATTTCATTATTAAAATATGGGACGTTGAGACCGGTTCTTCGTATGAGACCGTATAAACCGAGGTCCCGTGTCGCAGTAGGTGCTGGCACGAAAAAGATCCCTCACTGCTCAATGGCCGTAAGTGCCGAGTATAGGACAAAATTTGCAGCTCTCCACCGGCAAGTGGTGGCGTCTCCATATGAGTGAAAAATTCTCGAGAGGGACGTTAAACAACATACAAACAAACAAACAAACATTATTAAAATAATGTACAAACATTTACAAGAATAAGAGTAGTGTAGCTCGTATAATACAGAATAACAGATACGGTAATCTATATTAAAACAATGTAATTACATATTCAAACATTGTAATTACATATCCTTAAAGAAAACAAACTATGATTTAAGTCTCATACTATCAACATATATCCATTCCATTGCCCGGAAAGGAGATAACAGGGCACAGTAAAATAACCCGCTCTTACTCTCCTGTATTGGATCAAATGGCAATTTGTACTTAATAGAGGAGACATGAAGCCCATCAGACCCGTCACTGAGCCGTAGCTGTGTAGCCTGCCATTGGACAGAACTTTCAACTATCTGGTCCTCATCAAGATAAATTTGCCGTCCTCTTTTAGAGAACCTTTCTCGGGCAACATCGGAAGAATTTTGAAATGCCTCTAGTATGCTCAGCTATTAAATAAACCAAGAAACGATTATTCAATTAAACTTTTTTTTTTCGAATAAGCATCGTATTCAACTCCGATTCTTTAATAAAAAAAAAAATAGAATTAGTTTATTTTTTACATAGTTTTACATGTGGCATTAATTTAAACTTTTAAGGCATTTTAAAGCACATCCTTTTTTTCCAAAAAATAAAATTTAATGAATTAGAAAAAAACAATTCCAGAATAAGTTGATATGTACCTGATTAATATCTTTGCACGTGATATTTCCTGCACCATACCGTCCGTTTGGAAGCACGTGTTTCGCTCTCTCCTGAGACAGCATTTTAGCTTGAATTTGTATCGGTGACAAAGGGTTTAACGTGACGTCAAAAGGATCTAACGGATAGGTCACTAGAGAGTAGGTAGTAATGGCCACCGCGGAATTGTGAACTTCAGCCTTTGGGAAGAGGAATTCAAACTTGATCATTTGTCCATTTTCTTCTATCCCTCTGACCTTTAAATCAAGATACAGTGTTCGTTAACACTCAGTAAAGTATAGAAAACTTCTTTAATTTCTACCTGTCATTTGACTATGGAATCTATTTCCGATATACCATGTTTTAAATATGAAATGTCCTCACTCGATACTAGGAAACGTCTATAAATCCAGCAAGTCTAAATAATAAATAGTTTTAAAATCTACGGAAGCCCGTTGAGGCCAGTTCAGAAAAAGAAATATTTTTTTTATTGCGTTTAAACGCAATAAGTATTGCGTTTAGTCGCAATAATCATTGCGTTTAATCGCAAAAGATTGCGATTAAACGCAATCTTTTGCATTTAAACGCAATAACTTAGCGATTAAACGCAAAAGTTTTTGCGTTTAAACGCAATAATATTCTTGCAATTAAATGCAATGATTTTTGCGATTAAACGCAATAGTTTTTGCGTTTAAGCACAATAATATTGCGATTAAACGCAATAATATTGCGATTTAACGCAATACTTTTGCGATTAAACGCAATACTTTTGTGATTAAACGCAATAATTTTGCGATTAAACGCAATAGAAAATATTTCTTTCTCTGAACTGGCCTCAACGGGCTGCCGTAGAAATCAGACAATTTGATTAATGTTCGTTTATTGTTTTATCGTGTGCGAATGATAAATTTTATTTTGCCTGTTTGGAATAAACCCAAACATCAATTTGAATGTTCCTGCTACAATTATATTATCATGTATATTAGCATTAAATATTTCTTATGTTCATTTTTCCGTTCTTTCATCAACATATAAATACGGGATTCAATAATAACATCACATAGCTGAGCATCTCCTGGCAAAACTGCACATCAATCCCGATATAAATTGTTAGTTGCTTAACTTCCATTCTGCACTCATTCACTCACTCACTCACTTTCACGCACAAACAAGCGCTTACTCTATAAACTTCACTTTCGTAGCGAGGGAATAAAAAGTCTTACAGAGATCTGAGTTTTGTTCTGCAGCTCTATGATATACTTCTGGGCTAATTCTGTCCAATGTGAGAATCCATTAGTTTCGAGGGCTTTGACTCGCGCCAGTGGCTACAAAATAGGTACACAATTTCAGAACAATTTTTAACAATATGTTTCAATGCAAACTAATGCTAAATCAAGTTTTTCTATTAAAAAAAATTAAATACACAAATATATGTTACGTATGTTCAATAATATGTTTATTGGTGAAAATATTATACCTCTAGGAGACGAAAAGTGGTATTGAATCCTTCATCCAAGACCTGCTGTGACAATGCACTGCTACTTGCAATGTTGGAAATAAACGAACACGTGTATCTTGCTATTTTCTGATAAGCTGTGACATTTGTAACATCAGGAGGAAGATCGTGTTCTGCAACATTACTTGGCATCTTGCCAGAAGCAAACTGACCGTGATTTACCCCTTCCATCACCAAGACAGGAGTACGGTATTTGGCCTTCATATTGGACGAAACATCTTCATATAGCTCTCTAAAATAGCAGATAAAGGTCACTTTACCATATTCAACTTTCGTCTTTCTATTATTTGTGGTACATTTTAAACAATTATCTTTTGAAAACTATTTATTTCTAACAAAACATTTCCGGAGTCCAATTCGATTTAAATAAATGGCAATATGATGGTTTTAATTTTCCAGATAAACGTCAAAAGTAGCACGTTTGCTTCTCATTTCTATCCTGTGACGGCATGTTATAGTAATTTTAGTCCGTCCTGAACCTCGTTTTGTACGTCATACACTAAATTATAATTTCAATGTGGATAAATATAGAACATAAGAGGAAGTTATTTCAAAAATTGTTTGTTTAATCTTAATTTTAGAAGGGGAATGAATACATTTATGGAAGGTTTTTATGTATGATCATCGTAGTAAAATGAAATTTTAAATGAAAAAGCTTTAAATTTCCCTTTTTTAAAAAAAGAAAATGTAATACTATATTTTCACTCGCAACAGAAGGCAAAATGAATATCATTATTTGCAATTCTATACAGTTAACAAGCCTTTTAGACTTTAACATCTCATTTTAAAACAAGTAAAGATAAACTTGATCCATAAATTCTGATGTTTGTTATTTAATTCTTCAGCAGAGACATTGCATGTCAACTAATATTAATTCAATGCTCAATTAAACAAATAATCTAAGCTTACATTGTAAATGGACATTCTAAGTCATCAATATTTTTCTTGAATTTTTTTTCTCAACTTTACTTATAATAAGATTTACAGTATGTCGATAATATGAAGGCAAAAATTCACACTAGAATAGTTTTTGAAAAATAAAAACTTTTCTTTTATCTTCCAACAAGAGATTCGTAAATGACATAAAATGAATATGTGGAGAAGTCATTAAGCAAAGAGAAATAAAAATCCTAGCAAAAGAAACTTTGGAGATAAGCCGGGCAATATGCCTACATAAAGACAGATAAAAAAATCAATGAATTTATTTCTCCCAAATTTCACTTTTGTTAAATGTAGGTAATGTTTTTACAATTTGCGTACAAAAATGAATACAGTAACTGCCAAAAAGATTATGATTAACGTAACAAAATGGCAACATGCTCAATTTTCACAAAAACTGACATAAATTGGATGCTGTAACTTCATTTTTTAATAGAGTGGGTCATCGCTCCATTTTTTTTTTTTTTTTTTTTTTTTTTTTTTGGAGGACGAATAATGAAAGGCAATGGAAATATATTTCTTTTTACACATGCAAAAATTTGGTACGAAGGCCCACTCTACATAAAAAATAAAATTTACTTACAGTGTACTTAAATTCTCAACGTGGTCTTGAAAAAATCCAAACACGCTTGCTAGATATATATATAGGGAGAACTGTTTGCTATTTAAATGTTTCTTTTACATGTGACTGCGTAGTGTAGTAGTCAGCAATTAGCCGTTTAAAGAATATTTATCGAGGAAAGTGTTCGAATCATGCTCTGATGTTTTGATTTTTTTTAAAATTTTATAATGAAATGTTGCTATAGTAATAAAACTATTTGTACTGAAAATAAAATTTATGCATGTAATAATGAACCCATACTATATACAGATTACAAAATAGAAATCACCATTCATGTTAGACATTCTGTGGCAGAAAATGCAAGGTTAAGTGTTTAGCTTGATTAGAATCTACATTTTGACAAGTACTGTACATATTTGAATGTCTAGGTAAATTCGTACAACTGAGATATTTCCGATTTATGTACTGGCATAGCCGCAAAACAGCATGGGCAATTGGCTCAGCTAATCCCCCCTGATTCTTTGTTGAAAATTGAAAAGTGATAAAGCTTATTGAAGCACTTGAGTCATACTAATAACACTCACTGAAAAGTGTCCATGATGCGTGTGATCCTGGTCAGTCCGTCAAGGTCACCAGACAATGTCAGAACTGGGACAGGATAATCACTAAGTTTGTTACCCTTGGTGAGGTACGCTGCATATAGCAAAACACCAGAAAGATCTTTGTAGTGGTTCTTTCCATGCATAGCTACCATGGTACCTGTATGTGTTGATAGTAGAACATCCAATCATTTTGTAGTCATAATATTGTGTCAGCAGAGAATGTTGTTTTTAACCCCCAAATAAAAAATGTCAAAAAACATAGCTAAATAAGCCCAACACGCAAAATCAAACACGGTTGTTACCATTTCCTTTTTTAGAATACCTTGTTATTTTTTGTAAAATATAAAACATCTATTAATTGCTAAATGTTTGTGAATCTTTTATGAAAGTGTTGCACTATAAAACAATAGTAACACCTTACCTCCCAGACTGTGGCCTGCCAGGAAAACAGGACTCCCATCTGTAAATCCCTCATCTTTCAGTGACTGTATCGCCTTATTCACGGCCTCCCCTAACTGGAGAGGGTTGACAATATTGTCAAAGAAATCCAACAGAAGTACCACCCACAACTGGAAGTCACAAGTCTCCCTGATTTGTAAGCCTCGATAAACAAAAATAATCTGAGAAGTTTACATGTCCTACAAACACATATATTGTGGACAAAACAACAAAGCTATGTACAAGTACCTTATCAGGTGTGCGTATATTCAACATTGTATAGAAATGAAATACGAATCAAATTGCACTTAGTTTTGATATTTATTCACAAGGAAAATATTAAATTTTACAGATAGATTAATAAATAATTTTACACAGTGATATCTTTTTAAATTTCATTCTCGAATTAATTCAAAGAAAGGGTCTCACCTAGAGGTTCATACGCCTCCCCCTTGATGTAGGCCCCCGGGGCCACAAGTAAAGCTCTCTCTGGTCCTGTTTTTGTAGACTGGGGCTTTAGGACTTTAACATATAATGATGATATACATTTAAATGCAAATAAGCCGAGAACAATGCCAACAAGGAACGACTTCATGTTATCACGTTTACTTACACAACAAGAACTTCACTAAAGATAACGATGGTTGCCCCGTATAACCACCGTGTCTTTGAATGGTCATATTTCGAAATAGTATATTTTATTTCTAAATGCTGTATATAAACACAGTTTGTAATTAAAATTGAATTGCACGTAGTTGTCTTTATTGTCTTTTTATATGATTATGCTCCCCAGGTAAATGATTTCAAAAGGAAAGTGTGATAGCAGAAATAGATAAACATGTACTGAGAATGTGAAGAATTATCAAAGTTTGACGCAAAATTGAAAATATTGTAATTTTTACAATGTGTGGTATGACGAAAATACAACCACTGCAAACAAAATAAATTGAATCCATAAAAAAATAATGAAAGATTCATTGCATAATATATCACAAGAATAATATCTGTTAGTTAAAAAAAACAGATTAGGAGAATACAAACGCAAATTATACAATCATGGTGCATCGACTTAGCTGTCCAGTTTGATAAGATTTGTTTATAAACATCAAAATGAATCACGAACACACTTAGAAATTAATTCTTTCTGCGTATCAAATCGCAATGTTGATTAATTTAGATACAGACAATTGACTGAGTAAATACTCTCAAGTATGAGGCCTTATTTCAGGATGTGATGACAAAAGTATTTCCTTGTTGATTCTGATGTAGAATTAATACGTTTCCCTTCATTGTTACATTAATGTGTGGCAGAACGTAAATTTCTGTTTACATCGTGGTTATCTACATGACAGTACAAAATACATATGATTCGTTTTCATTATTTGTTCGTGCATTTTTTTGTGAAAAAATAAAAGGCAATGTTTCAAAATGAACAAACTGAGAAAATTTTAAGACAAAGTGAACAAAAAGTTAGTTACAAGGTCGGCCGTTTTATTGAACTTTTATAGAACCTTCACATTTCTGCATGTTGCTATTTTTACCAGTTCATAAAATAAAAACAAAACAGATGTTGAACAGTCATGAGTTCTTCGTTTTATTGCCTCACCTGTCATTTGATTTAAGCCATGGTATTACTAATCAATATCTGTCAATTGATGGAGTAATGCGGAAGGTCGACAATACAGGTCAGATGTAGAATGGTATCCAATCAGGGACTGGCAAGAACCAGACAATTATAGTATGACTAAGTTCTCTGAGATACTTCAGGTATTGATATGTACAATCTAAATTTCGAGTTTGTTATTATGATTTAGGTTTAGTTTACTCACCACATGTTCCTTTTCCTTTCCCATGTAGAAGCATTTCAATAAAAAACTAAGTGGAGAAAAATATTTTCAAGTGCTGCGAGGTCCGTTAAATTCGTGGGATCAATTATATTACAGGTTCACCGGGAAATAATCTTATGCATATGAGTGACATGACCTTAAGCCAACATTCGTTAAGATTTAAAAGTCGTAAGCTAAAGGTTCACAAAGAATAAAATACCCCAAAGCTAAGACAAACGAGATGATTTCAGTTTTTCCTGCATCAGCTTTCCTTATTTATGTAGTAATATTCCGCTATCACCTTCAAATGGTGTTTATGTCTCCCAATGTATTCGATACTTAAGTGCATGCTGGAGTATAATCAATTTTTAAACCAAGGCAGACTACTAAGAGATAAAAAGTTGATGTTACAGGGATTTGAATAACCTGGTTTAAAGTCATATTTTTTTTAGATTCTATGGTCGTTATAATGACCTTGTTAGCAAATATAACTATCATTGGGTCGTATGTTGACTGACATATTTCATACCAATTGTTAGGTTTTTGTTTTTATTCTAAATTTGACAACAGAATATGCCGTCATCAATACATATTCCTCACGGCGTGTGTGTGACCGGTCATCAGGGGATGCTTCCTCCTCCTAGGCACCTGATCCCACATTTGAAATTTCCGGAGGTCCGTGTTTTATGCTCTCTTCACAGATTTGTATTGTTTGAAGATTTTTTTTTATATCGTCAGCTGTTCTTTATTTTCACCTTTGGCGTATAAATAAACTCTACAATAATACTACTCTGCAACTGACATATTTCTATTTAATTTATTGTAATACAATTTATCTATATGCGAAATATACTTCTAACAAACTCAATCATAATATCAAGGAAGCGTCCCAGAGACAGAAAGCATGTAAATGTCTGAGGTAGGAAAACTGTCACTCAGTTACAAAGCCACACAAATCGAAAAAAATATAACGCTTAACTGATTTGCTCGACGTCCATGTAACAAGTATTTGAATATAGGAAGAAACCAATGGACGAAAGTTTTTTTAACCAATAAGAAAAAGAACATATGCAGTTCAAAGAGTCTGCACAAAAGTTTAAACTATTTCTAGAACTCAACATATAACCAATAGAATATTTGTGACTGACATAAGTAATTTCTAAAACAAGAAAAAAAAAAAGGTCGATTTTATGTTTTAGGATCTTAAGTTAAGTTGCCTTTTGAGATGATAAAGATGATGACATTTATAGATGGAAATAAATGTCACTCTGGAATGGCTTCTCTATGTCATTCTATTAATGTTGTTTTATGTGACAGTCAAATTTAGAGTGAAGTGACAAACTCTGAGAGTCAATCTCGTGGTTTTCCACTCAAAGGCAAACGCCTTGTCCACTTTGAATTGATAAATTAATAAAGAACCGGTGGGGCTGCCCCTCCGTAAATAATTTTGCCGATAGTATACTATAGTAAACAGAGCTACTTTATGCTCGTCCCCCTCAATAATAACGTCTGATGACTTTTGTTTGGTTGTCGTCGAGGAATTTTCTTTTTGCCTAGTTGTAACCCCCATGGCCACCCCCACCCCACCCCAACTGAAATTGCTTCCTACGGTCCTGAATAAATACCAAAAATGCTATTATTTTCTTCTCTTTCTTTAGGAAAGGCAATCAGAATTCTGCTTATTAATAATTTTCCCTTGTTGTAGCTCGACTTCAGAAAATTTGAGTTACTTTGGGTTGTATAAAAATCTACCTTTCCTTAAGAGATCAATTTCTACAGCAGCTTTTCTTTCAATGTGTCAGAATTCAGTCTGCTGTATACGTTAAAGGCTTATAAAATCGACACTGTGGTAATTCAAGGATGCTAAACCTAATTTACAAATGGTATAAAACAAATGCTAGTATGTAAAAAGATGAGAGTCCAGCGATTTCTTCTGAGAATTCTATTTATAACTGTTCAACTTTTTATGCCGATTTCCACGTGCTTCAAAATGTGTTTCAGGCCTTAAATCGCTCAAGATGGAATATATTTTTAAATGTGATGTATTTTACAATGGGTGTGCCACTGTTAAACAATAAAATTTACTTATTTTCCTGTTTATATTTTTAAAATCATATATCAAAGTCAAAAATATCTAATTTGCAATATTATAAGCGATAATAAAAGAAGTGCTTCCTCTTACAATGATTTCATGTTTACTTAATATTAAAATTTGATTCTTTTATGTATTAATCAAAATGAATAACTGAAATAGTATTAGAATTTACATTAACCGGCAGGTAATTCGTGCCTTATTTAATATCTTTGTTTATGTCAAGGATGCTAATAATGTTGCAGATGTTTATTTCTTAGAAATAAATCATTCAGGATTTTACGTCAGACATCGGTTTTAAAATTAAAACTGTCAACTAAGAACTAAAAGCAAGAAACGTTTTACGTTCTGAACTCCAAGAGTTTATTAAAGGCCCTCATAGCATGTATTGTTTTGTCTTGTCCACATAAATCACATATTAATAAAATATTTCTTGAGACGCCTGTCAGGACCACGGTGTGATCACTGTTTACGTTATATATGTCTTGATAAACTACCATGACCTTGAAAAAAAATCGATCAAGAAAAAAATGGTAAATTTACGTATATAAAGTATTTTTTCGTTTTATTCAAATATGTTTGCAAAATCGATAGAGAAGAAATTAAACAAAACCAGCCCTCCTTTTTTTGAACTTTTAACGACAATTATTATTATTGATACACTATTTGTGAAACATAAGCGCTTTCATTTTATTCAATACAAATTTTACATTTTAAAACAGGTGGCTGACGACACCTCAAAATGAAGAAATAGATCTAGAGGATATTCAATGTTTTGTAGTTGGATATGGAATTTATTTCACGAATGGGACAGGACTTTTTGATATTTTCAAGAGTGCAAAACACGAGTGAAAATATAATAAAAAAAGTCCTGTCTCACAAGTGAAATAAATTCCGTATCCAACTACAAAACATTGAATTTTCTGTTTATTACATTTTCTTTGATTTTCCCTTTGCCTCTGTCTTTTTTAATACAGTGTCATAGGCTGTGACGTCATAGTTGAGCGGTTGAGACGTCATAGCTTAGCAATTGCGAGATTGAAAACATTGTAATATGGATTTTGGCAAAATATTTGGGAAGAAAGTGGCAGTTTTAGTCTCTATCAAGACGGTTAAGTTACTATCTCTATCTTATGACAGGCCAGAAATCACTTTTTACTTACTTAGCTATCCGTTCACTCTCTGAGAGAATATCACTTTGGTATCCTTTCACACTGTGAGAGAATATCACTTTTATTCAATAAATAAATCACAGTATTTCTCTGTTGAAAATGTAATAAAAGTGGATATTTATAGGGAATGGTGAAACATGCAAAAATTTGGTTAACTGTTTCTCTGAAGAGAGTAAACGGAGAAATCAACTGTTTCTTTGAAGAGAGTAAATGGAGAACTCAAACAAGATCTAATAACAGTCAACTAAAAGTCATTCACGTTGACAGAAAGATGGGAAGTGTCTTGAAAGGAAAAGCAACCGCTAGAACATTGAAATTTATATGTAAAATATATGGAATCAATATTTAAGAAGAAAAGAAAGAAGATGTAGGTAAAAAAAATATGGATTTTATACAATGGTAGAAAGAACGAATTACCAGCCGAGACCGGTCCTTCGGATGAGACTGTAAAAATCGAGGTCCCTTGTCGCAGTAGGTTCTGGCATGAAAAAGATCCCTCACTGCT